GATAGATAGATACAGTAGATACTGATAAACTCACCTCCAAAAATAGTAAGTCCAAACGGATGGGAGATCTGAGTGATGCGATTCAAAGACAACCTGTTTTGTCCATCAAAGTTGCTGTGCTCGATCTTATCAAAGAAGGCGTCCACCCAATACAGCCGCATGGCACTGAGAGGCAGAGACACGGTCAAGAGGAGAGCGTTTTAGACCAATGCTGAGAAACTTATGTCAGATCATGATTTAAGGAGATTAGGAGCGAACACGCTATTGAATGTGCAACAAAACCAATAAGGATGAGTCACGGCTTTAGGAAGCCATCGAAGTTAAACCAAAGAATTATGAATTAAACAGGAATGGGTTATTGTTTGTGGTATTATGAGCACAACTGAATGCTGTATTGTTGTGGTTTCATTCTGGGAACTGTACAGTAACTCACCTCCAGTCAATGGCCAAGCCATTGGGCCAGCCGAGAGTGGTGTTTACAATCGACTGAGCATGTGACCCATCACCCCAGGCCCGCATAATCTTTGCAGGACGGTACCAGTCAGTCCAGAAAATATAACTGCCGAGCACAAAGACACACACATGGCTTTAAAAGAAATAGTTCATTCAAAAATAAACATTCTGTTATCATTCATTCATACTCATGACAATTATTATTTTTATTTTTTTTTTCCCTCAGATGAACACAAGCTTCTTTGCAAGCAATTATAATGAATGACCACTAGAGCTTTTACGCTTCAAAAAGGACGCAAAGTCACCTTAAAGGTAGGGTATGTAATTTTTCAAAAACGCTTTAGAAAACTGATTCGGGCCGAATAGCAAAACAAACTTGTAGCCAATCAGCAATAAGGGGCGTGTCTACTCGTGATGTGGAGGAGAGAGCTTTCAGTGCACAGGACGGACATTAGCCGAGCCGAGCGACAGAAAGATTGAGATGGCGGATGGCGTGTCTACTCGTGATGTGGAGGAGAGAGCTTTCAGTGCACAGGACGGACATTAGCCGAGCTGAGCGACAGAAAGATTGAGATGGCGGATTAAAAAACAAAAGAGGAAAACGTCTGCTGAGGGCGCAGCTATCAAAATAGGGGCAAGACCCTTTTGGGGTAGGGGCGTGTTTGTTTTGGTGATTTCAAATATCAACATTGGCTGCCAGAAATCACTTACCCTGCCTTTAAATGTACAATGAAAGTTGTTCATATTAAATATACACTACCATTCAAAAGTTTGGGTTTGGTAAGTTTATTTCAAATGTTTTTAAAAGAAGTCTCTTATGCTTACCATGGCTGCATTTATTTGATCAAAAATACAGTAAAAAAAAAAAAGTTATATTGTGAAATGTGATTACAATTTAAAATGTTTTCTGTTTTAATATATTTTGAACTTTAATTCATTAATATTATTTTTCAGGATTCTTTGATGAATATAAAATTCAAATGAACAGCATTTATTTGAAATATAAATTGTTTGTTACACATTAATTGTATTAGCTGTAACTTTTCATTGTATCTTTGCTGAATAAAACTATTATTTTCTTCCAAAAAATACTTTTGAACATTAGTGTGTGTATGTATGTATATATACTGTATATATGTCAAATGTCAGATTGCTCAAATTGTTCTTTTGTATTTCTTCAATTTCTGAAGTCTTCAGAAGCCATATGTACTACTTTTATAATATACCTATCACTTTGGAGTTTGCCAGCCTCAGTCCTCATTCATTAAACTCAAAAGAGGTGCCAAAAGTCAAACAGGTTTGGGACGGCATGTGGGTGAGGGAACAATGGCAAAATCACCACAAATCTTCACCCCGTGCCATCACCAAAACCATCCGCCGAGTTTTATTTATAAACTGTGAGGTATAGACAGTTTATCTGAGTGCTCTGTGGGGTTTTCCCCCGCTAAGCCAAGTTCTCAGTGTGCACTACAATAACAGCCTTCATGCAGCACTAATCTAGTCTCCTGGGCCCAGAGGCCTCATGACTTTGAAGCCATTGGAAATGTCCCACTAGCACGGCATAAAGAGTTGTCAGATTGCTCAAATTGTTCTTTTGTATTTCTTCAATTTCTGAAGTCTTCAGAAGCCATATGTACTACTTTTATAATATACCTATCACTTTGGAGTTTGCCAGCCTCAGTCCTCATTCATTAAACTCAAAAGAGGTGCCAAAAGTCAAACAGGTTTGGGACGGCATGTGGGTGAGGGAACAATGGCAAAATCACCACAAATCTTCACCCCGTGCCATCACCATCACAGTTTTATTTATAAACTGTGAGGTATAGACAGTTTATCTGAGTGCTCTGTGGGGTTTTCCCCCGCTAAGCCAAGTTCTCAGTGTGCACTACAATAACAGCCTTCATGCAGCACTAATCTAGTCTCCTGGGCCCAAAGGCCTCATGACTTTGAAGCCATTGGAAATGTCCCACTAGCACGGCATAAAGAGCGCCTTTATCTGTGCCAGGTCTGATAAATATAAATAATTATATATTTAGCAATTATATATAAATATAATTCATTAAATAACAGTTCACATCATCAACTAAAATGGCGTATGGTCACATGCTGAATTGTGTTTGTTGACATTTGAACGTGCCTGGGATTTCAAACCCATGGTCACAACCCTTTTTATCCACAAAAGAGGAAGTTTGAGTGTGTTTATTTTGTGAATGCAATTTTTAGCCTACAATAACAAGGGTTCTGTTCCAAAATCTAGTAAGCTCCCTACATAGGCATACTTTTATGGCTTCATAGTGAAAGCTTTCCAAAAGAAAGGCAGCATAATTATGTATCCCATAATGCAAGACAAATATTGATAAATATAAATAATTATATATTTAGCAATTATATATAAATATAATTCATTAAATAACAGTTCACATCATCAACTAAAACTAAAATTATAAAATAAATTAATAAAATAAAATAAAAACTAGATAGACTAGACTTTTATAAAAAATTTAAATGGGATAAAATAATTTGAAATGAAGAACACAAGGGATGAATACAAGGGTTGGAAATTACGGGATGCTTGGGGCAAAAATGGCATCAAAATATAAATAAATGCCCCCCAAATTCAAGATATGGGGGCAAAAAATGTCCCTGCACAGTTAAAGTAAATTAATTACAACTGTCACAGTTAAAGTAAAATATACAAATGAATAAAAAATGTTGAATGCGGCATTACATTTATATCTTCTGATGCAGCACCAAACATTTGTTTTTATGCATTGTGTTATGCAGCATTAAGCATTAAATACAGTTACACACATCTGTTGAGTGCATGAATGCAATGGCTAATTGGAGGCGTTTAGATTTTGACCTGCCGTTTTTTATGCATTCTACTACTCAACTTTAATAACAATTATTATAATATCGAGGCCAATAATCAACAATAATGTTATTTATCATAATATTGCAGCGATTGATTTTAAAGTACTTTTACTCGTTTATAAATCACTCAATGGCCTAGGACCTAAATACATAGCAGATATGCTCACTGAATATAAACCTAACAGACCACTCAGATCATTAGGATCGAGTCAGTTACCAAGGGTTCACACAAAACAAGGGGAATCTGCTTTTAGCTATTTTGCTGCCCGCAGTTGGAATCAGCTTCCAGAAGAGATCAGATGTGCTAAAACATTAGTCACATTTAAATCTAGACTCAAAACTCATCTGTTTAGCTGTGCATTTATTGAATGAGCACTGTGCGATGTCTGAACTGCGTGCACTGTATTTTATGTATGTATAATCATTTTCTATTTTTAACTGTCTAAAATTAATTGAATGAAATGAATTTTTAAATCATTGTCAAAGTTTTTAAATTCCTTGTTTTATTTTTTTATGATTATTTTACTTTCTTTTATGTAAAGCACTTTGAATTACCATTGCGTACGAAATTTGCTACATAAATAAACTTGCCTTGCCTTACCCTGTAATAAGTAATTAATTTATAAACTTTAATATTTTTTTTTTTGATGTTGATCATATTGGTAACAGCCTATAGTATTCTGACTGATTTAATTAATTGATTAAATTTATTTTTACATAAAAAATACGACAGGCACATTTACAAAGGTAAAAATTGCATATGTGCCTGGAAGAAGTTATCGCTTACAGCAGCTTTACTGAAATATGCATGAAAAATACTTGTCATACTCACCGGTTCCATCAATTTTCTGTTTGTAGATGATGTCCTTCACCGTATCAGAGAAGAAAACTGAATTGTCCGCAGCACTGAAGTCCACTCCAACGAAATAAGACGGAGTTCCTGTGATGGGGAGAATGATGTCTTCCTGTGTGGACAGGTTGAAGGGGATCCCTCTGACTGCCAGCTGACTGGAGAACAGCAGAAACTGCCTCACAGCTGCAAGACACATATTGCATTTATATTGTTTTCTTTAAACATCAAGCTGCTGCATCCCAAAATGTTGATTTTTTGTGTGTGATATGGCCTCTTTTAAACACATAAGATGCAAAGATGCAATGATAATTTGCATCTTTGTAGATAAGATCTGTCTTACCCAGGCATCTCTTGCCGTCAGCATGTAAATCATAGCCCATTCGGCAGCGGCAGCGATATCCCAAGCCACCGTTATCAGTTCTGTGACTCAGAACACAGATGTGTTCACAGCCTCCTCGATTGGCGCCACAGGGGTTACTTACTGTCCGATCAAACAAACGGAGATGTCAATAAATCACAAAAAGAATAGCAATAATTTCATGATGTCTGTCAGCATTTTTGTATAAAGTGACTACGTTTAAAACCTCTCCTAAGCACAGTGATTCAACAATGCTGTGCAACAGGACAGATTAACAAAACATTTACACTACAATTGTGATGCAATCACATTGCATTTCTGGTTATTTTCATGTCTATTTTCAGTGACTTCAGTTCAAAACTATTTGGGCCGCATTTACACCTGTATTGAGCACTGACCACTTGTGATCTCATTACCAAAGACAAATCTTAATATTAGATCTAAACAAGATCATTGGGAACAGGAATTGCACCATATATATAGTTTATTGCAAAATGTTATATATATATATTAAAATATATAAATATTCAACATTTTTATATTTAGACATTTGCATATATTTTATACATTTGCATATTTCAATTTTACATTTGGCACATTTATAATTTTACATTTTACACATTTAGAATTTCAACATTTTCAACATTTTACTATTGTAATATCAAAAGCGAAAGTAGCTCGTGGGCGTGATCTAATTAGAGATAATGAAGCCAGACGGGAAAGACTGGACATCACTTTGGATTCATATGGATTATTTTATCACAGAATATTTGTTTTCGATAATACTTGCTTCGTTTAAAAGTAGACATATCAAGCTTTCTATAGATATATCTCTCATGGCTCTGTGTAGAGTATTCGCCGAGTTTCAGTTCATTTTAGTGACGCGTTCCTAAATGAAGATCACAGAGACCAAGGCGGCAGACAGCGCACCCTGGTTATTTTCTTTATTTTACAAAAGCACAAAGTTTTGTTGTTATTATGTGTGTATACAAATAAAAGTTGACCCTTTACAGATTCGATTGGTGTATTGCTTTTATCTGTACGATCAAAACTGACGGAGTAATTTAAGTTCTTTTAGAGGCTTTCAAAAAAAATGTAACAAAACGCACCGGCGCGTTCGTCGACCCCAGAGGGTTAAAACAACTCCAAGTACATTGTATTTTTTTTTACTTAAAATCAGTCAATATTGCACCAGATTTTTTATTATACCATTTGCGATACTTTATGGAATATGTAGTATATTCCCTTAAAAAACAACAGAATTTTTGTTTTAATGTAATTACATTTGTTTGTAAATAATGTAATAAAGCTGTAATGTAATCTGAGGTGAAACTGGCCGTCATGTTATTTTAGAATTGTTTATCTACCATTATAGTATCTAATAATATTTTGAATTATAATATAAATATTTTTTTATATTTTTCAGTTTTTTTATTGCAATTTTAGTTTAAGCTTCAGTCATTTTGTTTTGCACTACAGTCTTGTTGCTGAATTCCTAACAGTTTAATATACATACTGTAATACAGAGTGGCAGATGCACTTTCTAGCTCCTTACCAAAAGGCTGTCTGTATGCATGGACCATAGTCAGGCCATGTGGTCTCTGAGAGGTCCTGTAGAGCTCTTGTGGGCTGTTGTCGCTGTATTTATTAGCCTTCATAACTGCCATCTTAGTCCAGTCAGTGTAGTAGACTGAATGCTCGAATAGAGTAATGGCAAATGGATGAGGAATCACAGACCCACCATGGACCACAGTTTTCCTATTGGAAAATTCAAATAAGCTCTTAACAGACTTCCGGAAAGTGCAAACAACTTATGAAAATCAGCATGCATTTCCAAATAAAACATCTCTGCAACCCCTAGAAGATACCTGTGCAAGCCATCATAAGTTGTTGTTTCGATATAATCATATCGGCTGTCCACCCAATATACTCTTTTAGCCTCAAGGTCCAAAGTAATCCCAGCAGGCCAGCCGAGTTTGGTCCTGATGATCCCATAGCGATTGCTACCATCCATGTAGGCCCTTTCCAAACCCGGTTCTCCATTCAAAGTATCCCAGTCAGAGAAGAAAAGGTACCTAAACTCAAACAAAACAACCTCACTGTGACACAAGACACTGTTTTAATCGCATTTAACATCTAAAACAGAAAGAGGAACTAATCCTAAATGAAATGATCCCATTGTAATGATGAATCGTGATTTATTAATCTCATGTTGCACTGAAAGAGATGAAGAGCAACTTGAACTTCAAAGGTATTTGTGCAAATATATTGTTAGCGCTCAGTTTGGATAGCATCGGGTTACGGATAAAACCCTTGGGGATAAGAACAAGATTTCGAAATGAATACCCAAAGAACGTTATTTTCAAACACCAAAGCGATGCAACTATACGCACTTTATTGTCACTTCTCAATTTAGCATGAGGCCACCTGGCCGTACGACCCTATCGGGTTTCCGTGAAGTTCATCTTTGCTTAATTACTTCTGACTAATCCTCACAGACAGTGTACAACATTCCCGTTCTCAGTATCTGAGGCTCCAGATCCGAGATCAGCTTCATGATTGCACTTACAATGGACGCGGATTAGGTGGAGGAAGCAAGGGTAAGATTAAAGTCAACGGGAAGCGTCTGACGTCTCCCTCGGGAACTCACCCCACGGTCGGGTCAAGCGCAAGACCTCTCGGGTTGCCCAGGTGCTCGGCGATTAGTGTGACCCGATTGCTCCCATCCAAGTCCACCATGTCGATTCTGTTGACGCTGGCCTCCACCACGTACAGCTTATTATTCACCCAGTCCACGGCCAGGTTTTCAGGATAGTCCACGGATACGTTCAGCACCACCTGCAAACGCGACCCGTCCATATCCACTGAAAACACCTGTTTGGAGCAAACATGTTTGTGGTTAGGGAAGTTGTCGTTGAAGTTTTGATATCCTGCCAGACCAGTATTTGTTGTAAATATTGTAAAATATTATAAATAATAATTATTATATGTAACTGAAATTACTAAATAAAAACTAAAACTATCAAAAACACTGGTAAAATAAAATTAAATAATGAAATTTAATCAAATTAAATATTAGGTGAAAAACTAAATGAACTGAAAAGAACTGAAATTACTAATGAAATTACTAAATTAATAAAATGAATTTTATACATAAAATATTATAAATATTATAAATGAACTGACTAAATAACAACTAAACTATTTTTGTATATTTAAATGATGAAATACTGTACAATAAAATATAAATAATAGATGAAAAACTTAAACTAAATGAAAATTAGAAATGCTGCCTTGCCAAGTTGAAGAACTGAATTCACTTGAATTGAATTCGCTTTCGCTAAATTACTAAATAAAGTGAATATTACAGAAATATATTATAGATAACATATATCATAAATACATAAACGATTTAAAAATGAACTGAAATTACTAAATAAATAACAACTACAACATTTTTGTTAAAAGTAATAAAGTGAAATAAAATTAAATCTAAATATTAGATGAAATATTTTAAATGATATGAAAATTACACATTTTGAAATTACTAACTACATTTCTAAATAAATAAAACGAATATTCTAAATAAATCAATCAAAATGAAACTACTAAATAAATAAAAAACTAAAGAACTAAAACTGAAATACAATTAAAAATAAAATGGCATAATGAATACAATGGCTAAAAATTAAACTCAAATTAAAACTGAAACTATAAAAATAAAAGCTAATTTAAAACAGTAATATAAAAAAGAATAAAAGTATATAAATAATACTAAAATAACACTGGTTTAACCAGCACAAATCCCTTGCCTAACCAGCTTCACTTGAAAGACCACGATGGTCAACCAGGCTCAAGTTTGTCTAAACTAGTTTCTTCTTTAGTATGTGGCACGAAATCAGCCTATGAAAACTCAAACTGATCTAAGGTGGTCTTTTCAGCTGTAATCCTACAAGAACATAATCAAAACTTGACATTACATTCTCTTCTTAAATAATCATGGTAATAAGATTGTGGCCTGGCTTATATCGTCTGACATCTGATAGTTTGGCTTTCTCCGCTGCCCCAGAGGTGGTACTCTGAAACCACTGCCCTATTGATTAAAAGATGGCACCAGTTTCTCAGGCTGGATCCCTTGGCATCATAACACAAGCTAAGGCACCAATGCTCTTTGCAGGCTTCGCCCTTTGGAAACCAGAGCCAAACGTCTAAAAGACTATGATTCTGAGCTGACCCGTTTAACAGAAACTCAAGCTGTGAAGGTGGTCTGGTGGTGTGGCTCTCTGAGACCCCCTGCCACTATACTCAGAAGCCCATCTCCTCGCATGTACCCACTTTTTTTGCTCCATGGCTGATCTCCAAATCACAAAGTAGCCAAGAGTTTGAAACAAAGCTCTTTGAGCTGGCTAAAGAATGCATAAAAAAGGGAAGAATATTGCACGCTTACTCCAGATCCTCTCAGGTTGCATAAAATTACGCAGAAATATGCGAGCATTTCCCTGCCTATCAGACACTTTCTGGAGATTAGAAAACATGGAGTCTAGCACCGATTTGAGTCAGTTACCGTGACTGCAGCCAGACTGGTCGCCCATTATTAGCGTATTAGCAGTATCTACAGGCATCAGCTGAAGAATTCCCTTTCCGCTGATGAAGAGCCAACTTCCTTCATAGCTTCCACAAGCTGTTTTTTCTTTAATCCTCAGAGACCCAAGCACTGATATTTATTATATATTTTCTTATTTTTTTCACTTTTATTTTTTTTTTGTGTGTTGAGATGAATTTTCGTTAAACATTATTAAAGCAAAATGAAAACAAACAAACAAACAAACAATGGTTTTTCAAGGCTGTAAAATCACACCATTGAATTATTATATGAATTCCATGTTGGGAAATATAAACAATATACGTATATATATATATATATATATATATATATATATATATATGACTGTTTTTACAATATAACTTACAATATAATTAATACATATACTGTACACTAGTACATTAAAAATGATTTATATTTCAAATAAATTCTGTTCTTTTGAACTTTCTATTCATAAACGAGTCTTGGGAAAGAAAATACATCACAGTTTCTACAAAAATATGAAGCTGCACAACTGTTTTCAACATTAATAATTATAAGCAATGTTTCTTGAGCAGCAAATCAGCATATTAGAATGATTTCTGAAGGATCATGTGACACTGAAGACTGGCGTAATGATGCTGAATATTCAGCTTTGCATCACAGGAATAAATTATATTTTAGAATATATTCAAATATAAAGCAGCTATTTTAAATTGTAATAATATTTCACAATATTACAATATTTTACTGTATTTTTAACCATATAAATGAAGCCTTGGTGAGCATAAGGCACTTCTTTCAGAAACATTTAAAAAATCTTACCGACCCAAAACGTTTGACTGGTAGTGTGTCTACATATTCATATTATATAACTGTGAAATTTATTACAAAGCAGTCATTAGTGGTGTCAGTGACCCTGCTGTGTGACTCTGACATGCTGGAAAATTCATATTATAAAATGCATTATATTATGCATTTGAGAGTTGAAAGTTTGAACCCATTATTTAAACACTTTAAATATGTATTAATTTGAAAGTGTGTAATTAATATTGCTCGGTCTTGGTTGCTTCAGGAATCATTTAGGGAGGCTTTAAAGATACTGGCACATTCTATTTGAGACAGACAGGCTTTATTTGGGCCTTTAGCCAAACGTTGTTGCTGGGGTGTATGAGAGGTGAGATCAGAGCAGACTGACTGGCACAATGAGTAAGTGTGTGTGTGTGTGTGTGTGTGTGTGTGTGTGTCTGTGTTGAAGGAGGAAGAGCTGGTATAATGCAGAGCTTTGTTATCAACAACAAATGTAACATCGATATCACTCGTCCTGACAAGGTTAGAACTTCAGTAATCTGTGAAATGCCACTTATTAAATTCAGGAAAACTGAGAACCCGTGGCAGGTGCCAGAGCATTAAATTAATATAAGTGGGAAATATTAATGCCACACACAAAGCAATGAAATAGAGTAAACTGTGCTCTAAGTCCATTAGGACTGAACAATATATATATATATACACACACATTATGATCAATATTGTGATTAATTAACTAGATGTTAACTGTATTTAACTTGCATTAAACATCTAGGATACAAAGGCTGTTCGATGGAAATGACTGAATTAAAAAAAAAAAAAAAAAGCAAATACATAAATACCGTAGTGTCAAAACGACAGAAAAATATTGAGATACACTGTTTAAAAGTTTGGGGTCGGTAAGATTTTGAAAAACATTTTTGAAAGATGTCTAGTTTAAAAAAAATACGGTAAGGTCAGTTATAATGTGAAATATTATTGAAATTTAAAATAACTGTTTTCTATTTGATTATATTGTAAAATGTAATTTATTCCTGTGATCAAAGCGGAATTTTCAGCATCATTCCTCCAGTCTTCAGTGTCACATGATCCTTCGGAAATCACTCAAATTTGCTGATTTGCTGCTCAAGAAACATGTCTTATGACTACCAATGTTGGAAACAGTTGTGCTGCTTCATATTTTTGTGAGAAACCGTGATACATTTTATTTTTCAGGATTCTTTGTTGAATGGAAAGTTCAAAAGAGCAGAATTCATTTGAAATAGAAATCTTCTGTAACATTATAAATGTCTATACTTTATAAATGCCAGCCCTAACGCTATTTTTAGGGACTATATGCAACTTCAAAAAAACTGCTGTTGTTAGTCTGTAGACCATTTACCTTATTTTGGATTGTGTCGGTCCAAAAGACCCTTTGCAGCTGGTAATGAAAGTCCACACCAACAGCAACTCCTCTGTTCTGGGACTCGACCAGGGTTTGAGTACTGTGTCCGTGGACATCAGCAATCAGCAAGTCTCTCCCATTGGAGAATATAAGCGAAGGCACCCCAGCTAAAGATGGCCAAACAAAGTGAATTAATGTGGAAGGATAATTTCAAAATGAAGGATACAGTTTGACAATCTTTAGAGAACTCATAATATAATGTACTTTTGATAAGGCATAACAAATATGTGAGAGAGTTTAAAATTGGCTGTGTGGTGCCAGCGTTTGTTATTTATTTCCAGGGCCTGCCAAACAAATGGTTGGGAGGCAGACATTTCAGGAGCTTAACATGATGGCATTCAATGCAAACTGAGGCGCTCCAAGAGAGATGAGCCGCAAAAAGCCTGATTAATGGGCATATAAGATAACAGTTAACACCAGGAATATTAGTCTCAAAGCCATGATAATTGTGTGAAAGCATGCAGGAAAATATAATGCAGAAGTAACAGAAAAAATTTTAAACAAATAATGAATAAATAAATACAGTTGTGTAAAATATATTTAAAATAAATATGAATTAATTTGATATGATTCATGAGAAAAAAAAGGACACTGAGTAAATAAATGCAATTTAAAAATGTGTAAATCTGTGTAAAATTTATTTAAAATAAATATTAATTTAATTATGGGAAAAAGTATGATTAAATAAATACAATTGAAAAAATACTAGTTAACCTGTGTAAAATTTATTTAAAATAAATATTAATTTAATTATGGGAAAAAGTATGATTAAATAAATACAATTGAAAAAATACTAGTTAACCTGTGTAAAATATATTTAAAATAAATATTAATTAATTTAATATGATTTCTTATGAGAAAGGATATTGAGTAAATAAATACAAAATGTGTAAACCTGTGAAAAAAATATTTAAAAAGAATATTAATTAATCTAATATGATTTTTTTTTATCAGAAAAAAATTACGCTCAGTAAATAAAAACAATTAAAAATACTTGTAAATCTGTGTACAATCTTTTAAAATAAATATTAAATGATTTTATATGATTTATTATGAATACACAAGCTGTAAAATAGGTTCATTTTGTCTGTTTAATTGGAATACATGAGGTTTTCTAGCAACACTGATTTTTCGAGGATGTAAATTGGAGTATGTTTTACAAGAAACATACATACTATTTTCTACCACTGTCTTTCTACTTCAAAATGTCAAGTTTGATTCATTGTGTTACTTGCCATTTCTTTCTAATTAACTGTGAAATTTAGCAGAATAACAGAATACTTTCTGATTGTCACATTGAAAAATGCATGCCCTGTAAAGCTGTTTTGAAACGTATTGTGAAAAGCGCTATACGAATCAACTTGAATTGAGCTGAAACGGATGAATCTATTGCAGCACTTCATCAAACACCTTCTACATACACACAGGCAGCATGTTAGAGGCCTGAATGGACTCACATGAGGGATTTGCTCTGCAGTATCTGTGCTGCTCCAGAAGGTAACCGTCCCGACAGCTGCAGCGATGGCTTCCGATCCGATCCTCACACAGCTGGTCGCACATGCCCCACAGACTACAGTCATCATAATCTGCAAAGATGTGCACAGAGTACAGGGAGAGCTGATGGCAAGTCACCAGTTTGATTGAATATGAGCAACTATTTGTAATCATCAATCAAGCGTTTTACCAATGCATGAGCGGCTGTCGTTTCTGCTGACCATGTATCCTGGCGGACAGGCACAGGTTCCTCCTTCAGGAGAGGCGTGACAGTGATGCTCACAGCTCAGAGATGCACAGCGCCAGATACCTGACACAAAACACAGCCATACAGCACTCGAAATGTTAGGAAAACCTTAGACCAAACCAAAAGTGTAACTATAATATCAAGCATATCAAGAACAAAACACAAGAATTTTGGCAGATTAACATCATAATAAATGATAAACAAAAAACTAAGACTAGAAAACTAAAATTATTACACTATAAAATATTTTTTGTAGTTCTAAATAAGGATTATCGCAGTATTTTTTACAAGAAAATACTATTTCATTCTTTTTACTCCAAATTTTCACATTTAATTCGATGTGTTACTTGCTGTTTACTTTTAATTATTTGTGAAATTTACTAGCAATTTTTGAGTGAAAAATTGTTTCCACATCATTTTTTTTCAGTGTATTAATAATCATTTAACAGTAATAGAAATACAGCTGAAATCAAATAAAATATAAATATTACATGAAAAATTCAAAAACATAAATAAAAAATAGAAGAATTTAAGTACTAAAATTACTAAAACTGAAATTAAACAAAGTTTTATAGAAATATTAAAAATAAGTTAACCAAAACTATTAAAAACATTTTGTAATTGTCAATAGCTATAAAACTGAAATATAAGATAATTATTAGATGAAAAACTTAAACCTAAATTATTAATTGAAAATAAAAAAACTAAAGCTGAACAAAAACTAAAACTGAAATAAAATAGTGATATAAAAATACAAATGACAAAAGCACCTAACAACATTATTAACATTAAAATAATTTAAATGTAAACTGAAAATATAAAAGTGAAAAGGGTGAAAAAATTAAAAACATTTTTAAAAAGGTTAGACCAATTTTTTTTCAGCCTATAAAAAATATTTTAAGTAATAGAAATAATGCTGAAAATAAAATAAAAATATTTTATAAATAAATATAAAATATTTACATATTAAATTTAGAAAAGTATAAATGTGGCCTGGCAACTAACTGAAATAAAATAAGTTTTAAGAACTAAAACCGAAATAAAATAAATTAAAGCTATACATAAATATAAAAAAAACTGAAACAAATAAAAATGACAAAAGCACATAATAAAATTAAATCACAAAATAAAAACTGAAAATATAAAAATATGATTTAACAATATAATAGTATATAAATAATACTTAAACAACACTGGCAGAAATCAGCTTTAGTGATTTTTAGGTGGTAACTGACTGCAGTTGCGTCCGGCAGTGGTATTGGTTTCATCTTCTCCGTCCGGACAGTGTGCCGTCCCATCACAGAGATGCTCCAGAGGGATGCAAACACCAGAAGAAGGACACGGCCATTCCCCGGGATAACACTCACGCTGGACATTATCTAAACGCAACACACAAAAAACACCATTTCAGCTCAGGTCACTCAAGATACTTTCATTTTCTTTAAAACAATCAATCGGAAGCCTGGCTTTTGCAATATTTAGCAGGAAGAAGGTCATTTTAAGGATGTACCGCAGCCTCTCTCGTCTGCATTGTCCTCGCAGTCATCCTCTCCATCACACAGCCAGACCTGATGAATGCAGCGGCCGCTGGGACAGGTGAAGTACGTTCCTCTGCAGGTTGGGTAAGCTGTAGATAATGCATTAGTGAACGTTCACACCTGAGTAAAAGGCTTTTCTAAGATACATTTTTACATTCTTTATGGTCACATTTGAGAAACTGTGGAATGAAATATACATACTGCAGTTCTGTTCATCACTTCTGTCTCCACAATCATCGTCATGATCGCAGACGTATCCGCGAGGAATACATTCTCCATTACCGCACTGAAACTGACCGCCACTGCACCGCTGGGCTGAAAACAAACAAGAAATATGTCTATCCACGACGCAATTTCATAAAAGTTACATAAAGCTGAAGATAACTATACTTGGTATGTTTTCACCACACCAAAGGATGGAAAAAGGGTGAATATCAAAATAAAATGCAGCATACAATACAGTATAAGGAATAGAAGAGCCAGAAATGAATTTTTAATCATTGTTTATTCACCCTCATGTTGTTCCGACTCTATTATTATTGTCTTTCTTCCAATTTGTTCACTATATTACAAATATAAAGCTATAAAAAAGATTTGTGCGAGATGCATACCAAAATGTAAGCCTCTCAAACATAATTTGTGCTGGTTTTCAATTCACAAATGACACTTTTGGACACACTGCACTAGGTTTGACATCACCAATGGCAAATGGCATCGGTTTTTGTATGATGTGACGAATCGTGACAAAAAATGAGACTGCAAATGGGATAATCAGTGAACAACAAATTAAATTTGCTTTGCATTTGATAAAATGGCTTAATAACACTTGAAATATAGCACGAAAGTCACATATACTACAACAAACAACTATATATCCAAATCAATAAACATTTATTGATAGTTTTAGGGTACTTTTATGGTCTTTTGTGAGCTATGGTGTTTATAAATCACCATCCACTTTCATTGTATGGGAAAAAAGCAGCTTGAACATTCTGCCTAATATCTTATTTTGTGTTTCAACGAATCAGGGTTATTACTAACCAGAACTAAAAAATAAATTGTTAATTGAAATAAAATCAAATATACATATCAAATAAAAAAAATTATTGAAGATAAATAAAAACTAAAACTGAAATAAAAAATATATTTATACCAAAAGAGTAATGTTACATTTTTTTTATAAAAACAAAAGCACGTAACCAAATTTCTCAAATTTAAACAAAAAAAAAAGTTTAAACAAAATATTGTTAAAATCTACAATAGCATATAGATAATATTACAAATTACAGAACAACATGATTATGAGTAAAACAATTTAAAACTATATATTATAGTCAAAAATAAATGTGACGAATCGTGACAAAAAATGAGACTGCAAATGGGATAATCAGTGAACAACAAATTAAATTTGCTTTGCATTTGATAAAATGGCTTAATAACACTTGAAATATAGCACGAAAGTCACATATACTACAACAAACAACTATATATCCAAATCAATAAACATTTATTGATAGTTTTAGGGTACTTTTATGGTCTTTTGTGAGCTATGGTGTTTATAAATCACCATCCACTTTCATTGTATGGGAAAAAAGCAGCTTGAACATTCTGCCTAATATCTTATTTTGTGTTTCAACGAATCAGGGTTATTACTAACCAGAACTAAAAAATAAATTGTTAATTGAAATAAAATCAAATATACATATCAAATAAAAAAAATTATTGAAGATAAATAAAAACTAAAACTGAAATAAAAAATATATTTATACCAAAAGAGTAATGTTACATTTTTTTTATAAAAACAAAAGCACGTAACCAAATTTCTCAAATTTAAACAAAAAAAAAGTTTAAACAAAATATTGTTAAAATCTACAATAGCATATAGATAATATTACAAATAACAGAACAACATGATTATGAGTAAAACAATTTAAAACTATATATTATAGTCAAAAATAATATATATATTATACTTTTTAACGAGCAGTTCTTAAAAGAACCTTTTTTTTTCTTCTTGGTGTAAAGAACTTTTTAAAAATCTATAGAACTTTTTTACGCTATACAGAACCCTTTGTCCAATGGAAACAATGAATGTTAAAGTCCCCGTGAAATCAAAATGTAAGTTTTTTGGGTGTTAGTATCAATATGTTAGTCTTAAGGTTATCTATGAGGCAGTGTGCTCCAAAACAGTGACAAAATTCGCATTTAGAAGATATAAGCATTCAAAGCTTGCAGTTCGTCACTTCCGCCAAAACGGCTCAATTATTTTTTTTTGACGTCACATCGTACTTCATCTTCTCATCAAATCTTCTGACCAATCAAACACTCTCTAGAAGCCGAAGCGCCCGCCCCCTACAAAATAGACGCTGAAGGTGTGGCTGAGATCGGTCGCTTGTTCACAGTGTAGTATTTCTTGTACAGTGAATGGCACATAGTGCACAATGTAGGTGATAGGGAACGATTCAGATAGTGTAAATATGCTTTTGATTGGGGCAAATGAGGTGTGGTTTCACGTTGTGTCACGCCAACCGCGGCAGCGCGCACAGTCTGATCCGGACTTTGGCTCCGGTACAGAGACGCAATCACACGAAGCGGATTATATGCACGAGTCAGCATATATTAAACACTTTTAAAACTACACAACCTCAGCATGATTATGATCACTATTTTGTTTTACTAAGAGATTCATATTGAATCTAGGGGTAATCTATTAGTGGCTGTCAAATGCGGCTTTACCGAACGGCTCTGACCCGTGCAGATATAAACAAAACGCTATTGGCTAATTTAAAAAGGGGGCGGGACTGCTTGATAAGTCCTTCCTGTTTCAGTTGAAATTACGTCACCACATAGAATAACGCTGTGTGTTTCAAGGCACTTCAGGGGACCTTTAAAGGTTCTTCATGGAATAGTAGATGCCAGTAAAAAAGTGCAATCAAACAGACAAAAAGTCACATGACTAAACATTATAGCTTCAAATCTTGCAATTGTAAAAGTAGCACAGACGTTTTCCAGGCCATCCAGTAGATGACTGTGTCAATGTGTGTGTCCTGCCAGGGAAATACACTCACTGCAATTGGCTTCATCTGAGCCGTCTCGGCAGTTGAGCACCTGGTCACAGCGCTGACTCCTGTTATAACACGCCCCGTTAGCACACCTCAGCTCCAAGCACTCTGGGTACACTGAGAAAAAGAGAGCACGTCCAGTCATTCAATAAAATAAAATCACTCTGTAATACAATACAGCGTCCACTGCGGTACGGCATCGAGTGATGCAAGTAAAGAAACAGCATAAAGCTAATGTAGAAAACAAACACAAACTTCTGCAGCCAAATGCCCATTATGTGCATAGCAAGTCTGGTAGGGTAAAGCAGTGTGTGATGAGAGCTCAGTGATGAACTGACACTAGCACTAATCCACAGAGGAATCTGCAATCAACTCTGACAAACAAGAAGCATATTGTGGCCATTTCTGTCCATCAGCGAGACTCTTAATCTTACAAATTGATTAAAATGCCACAGGAGCCTTCGAGGGGGAGGAAACACACACACACACACACACACACTATCTAGGGCTGGGCGATATATCAAATATGCATGATATATTTACAATATATTGCTATGATGTTTATGCACTTTATGATATTTAAACGTTGTTCGACTAGTGCAAGTATGAGAGTGTTAAATTCATGAAATGCAATGCAACGTCGTGACCGTTCTGCATCCTTAATCCAATGCATTTCCGCATGAAATAGGATATTTAAGGAACAAGGACATGAGTTTAACCATTGGGAATTGACTGGATCTTAAAAAGCATACCAGAATGGAGTCAGGTAGTTAAAGGAGAAGGGTTGCAATGGGTTTGATGTGAATTTATAAAGTGAACAGGCTCTATTTTCGATTTTTCCTCTCTCTTTGGAGTGTTACAAGCGCTTGGTGCATAAAGAAGATCTGTAAAGTTGCAAAAACTAAAGTCTCAAATCCAAAGAGATATTCTTTATAAAAGTTAAGAGCCAACAACGCCGACCTAAAAAGGCTCGTTCTAACACACCCCCACATGTCTACGTCACTATGTGGGAAGATTAGCATAACGCCACCCAAATGTTCACGCAAAGAAAGAAGGCGTAACTCTTATTCTCGCTGTAGTATTGTTGTTGCCGCCGCCATGTCGTGAAGGCGCTGTGTGATTCGTTGTGAAAGCGAAACTACTTTGTTTGGTCTTCCAAAAGAGGACGATATCGCTTTGTCATGCCTGGAGCTGATCCGTGCTGGTCGCTGAGGAAATACATCAACTTTGCGCTGTGGATCGCTGGATCGGCTTTCACCGTGGACGAAGCGGAGTCCAGCCCGGGGTTGTCACATGTGGTTGCCGCAAGCCCGCCCGCCTCCGCTCACTCACACAACGCACTGGATAGCTGGCCAATCAGAGCACACCTCGCTTTTCAGACCGATGAGCTTTGTAAAAATCGACGCGTTTCAGAAAGGCGGGGCATAGAGAAGAAACAATAATGTACAGTATGTGGAAAATAATGTGTTTTTTTACCTTAAACCGCATAAACACATTTCATTACACCAAATACACCAAATAATGTTATTTTTAGCAACATCATTTGACCCCTTTAAACTGCATTAAAAGACAGCAACAGAATTGGTCAATTTGATTCAAAACTGTGAATCGGTTCAAAATAATTCACAGTTGATTCAAAACTAATGATGCATGATATTGAAAATTATTAAACAGCAATCTTATATTTATTCATTTAATGAAAAATTGTAGCCATAAGCAGTTATTTTATTATTTCTGAGATACTATTATAGTTTTTGAAGTTATACAGTTGCATAGTTATTATATAGTTATTTTGAATTAGATTTAATTTGTTTGTATTTTCTGTTTTCATTTAAATTTTTGTTAAAGTTTTAGTCATTTAGTTGTGTCTTTGTCATTTTTATTAGTTATTGTTTTTTTTTTAAATATGTCTGTATAGTTTTTAACAAATTTTATTTCAGTTTTAGCCATTTTAGTATGAAAACGAGAAAATGAAAATGAGAAATGAGAAATGAAAATGAGAAATGTTCCAACTAGCTGGAATAAAAAAAATAAATCAATAAAATAAAAAAATACATTTTATTTCAGTTACATTTATTTTATTTTAAACTAAAATGTTATTTTATGGTTTTAGTTTGTTTGAACTTCTATCCATCAAAGAATCCTGAATACATTGTTACAGTTTACACAAAAATATTAAGCAGCATGACTATTTTCAGCATTGATAATAATAAGAAATGTTTCTTGAGCAGCAAATCAGTATATTAGAATGATTTCTGAAGGATCATGTGACACTGAATACTGGAGTAATGATGCTGAAAATTCATCTTTGCATCACAGGAATAAATTACATTTGAAAATATATTCAAATAGAAAACAGCTATTTTAAATTGTAACAATTTATGTCTTTTTTAATCAAATAAATGCAGCCTTGGTGGTCCTAAGATACTTCAAAAACATAAAAAAAATCTAACCGACCCCAAACTTTTGAATGGTACATTAAATATCCATATATGACCTTAAATATACTGTCAGTATTTAGCTATACTGCCCAGCTTTAATCCCATCACACACATCCCGACAGCATACTTACGGCAGTTTCTCTCATCTGCTCCGTCTAGACAGTCAGGCACATGGTCGCACCTGTATCTTCCCGGGATGCAGGCCCCATTCGTGCAGGTGAACTGTGAACTGGAGCATGTCCTGCCAGCTGCCAGCAAAGATCAAAGACACATGGTTATAATATGAGTGCGCTGGGTGGTCCTCATCTTCACTAAAGTGGCATGCTCTCCCTACAACACATGCACGCTTTGCCTTATGTTTTTCAGACTGTTGCCTGCACATCTGAGATATCGTGTTTCTCTGACATGACGGAAATTACATCCCTGTACATTACTGGGAGTCAATGGAGCTCTCAGCTCTGACGGACAGTCGTAATTGAAATGGAAGCAGAAAGCGAGGGAGAGACGGACGGATGGAGATAAGGAGTACTCACGGCAGTGCTGCCTTTCATCGGAGCCATCCTCGCAATCCTCTTCATCATCGCAGGCCCAGTGCTGCGGAATGCACTCGCCGTCACTCAAGCACTGGAACTGAGCACTCTCGCAGGTGGGCTCGGCTGGAAGAGCGTAATAAGACAGCATTGTTAACCAAGCTAGAAGAGATCTGAGCTGGCCTGCGCTAAGAGTTTCCTTTCAAAGAGCTCCTTGACTGACTCCATAAGAGGAGGAATTTAAGAAGGGACGTGGATATACTGAAATAAATACGTTTTTTTTAAATGATATTTTAAAAAACTATTTTCTTCATTTATTGGTCCAAATTTGTTTGAAATGGCATACAACCAATACTTTTTCTGAAGTATACAGTATATGTAGTATGCTAGTATTTTTGTTTTGTTCTCCAGTAAAATATCTAAACATTCTTAAATTTACTTGAGAAGAAAAATGACTGAAACTATTGAAGTCTTGTTTTCTGAAAAAAAAAAAAAATCAAAATTAAGTGATTTTTGATTGTTACTAAACAAGAAAAATATGTCTATGAGCTATGTAAAATAAAACTTAAGGTAAAATGGGATTATTTTTCTTACCCCACTAATAGACATTTTTCTTGTTTTAAGCAAAAACTGCACTGGGTTTTGTATACCACAATGCAATGTGCCTCGCATGACCTTTTAACTTCTTAATTTTTAATCTTTCCTTCTGGACTGCTGTGACAGTCATCTAAGATTTGTAGGTTTTCACCCCTCAAAACTCTTTTGGTCTATGCCACTTTATATTTTGGCAATGCCATGATTTCCAGAGATTTGCTGTCCATAGAAAGCTAGCCAGTTTTACACAGGAATTTATTTATTGAATACATCTGGTATGAATGCGTGAAAACAGCCCTAAAGCTGGTAAGAAACTTATGTTTCTAAAACCCAAAATGGTGTATAAAAATAAGACTTTTAGGTACAAAAAAGTGATGCTAGTAAGCCAAAAACTACAATTCTAAAAACTCATTTCAAATTCCCGAGGGAACACATGGCCAGTGCTGATGCTGCTCTGGGTTTACGGATTACAAACTGAACAGCTGTATTTCACACTTGCCACTCTTTATTAGCGTTCAAGTGTGACCTTGTGACTGTGGAGGAAGAGTTACTTACGGCAGCCAAATTCATCTGAGTTATCCGAACAGTCGGTTGTTCCATCGCACCTCTGGCTTGCTGGAATACAACGGCCTGTCCCACAACGGAAAGACCCCACCTCACAACTTGAACCTACACAGAAAATGACAGGATATTCTGATCATCTGTTCAAATCTGATTTGTTCAAAGGCACAAAAGCTGTCACTGCAGCGGTACCTTGTCAAAAGATATAATTATATGCACTTTTAAGGTACTAATATGCACTCTTTCAGGGTAAATAAGTAGGGCCCTATAAAATCTGTTTTTTTCTCTCCAAATTCTGTTTTATTTTTTCCAAATTAAATTTTTTCTAATTTTTCCAGATTCTGTTTCTTGTTTTAATTGACTCCTTTTTTTAAATGGTTAAATTAAAGTAAAGTAAAATCATGAAACGTATACAATTTAACATCAATTCATTAAAAGTTTAACAAAAAAAAAAATGTGTGCAATATGTTTTATTTTTTCTCATGTTCGGTTTTATCTGTTTTATAATTGTCAGAATTATACATGATTTTTTGATGGGATGACAGCTGGTAAGGTCAAAGAACAGCATAATTTCACACATTAATTCTATGTAACATTCTTACCTGAGCTTTGACCTATGATTGTGCCAGCTCTAAATGACAGATGCCTAAAACCATTGCATCCATTAGCTTTAAAAAAAAAAAAAGAAAAGGAGAAAAACCCACATTCATCATTCAGGGCTACGGGCTTACTCAATGCCGACTATACAAGATAGCAACCAAAGATGTACTCCCACACATCATAAAACCTGAGCATGATGGATTTGAGAAGTCAAGATAATGTAATGTAATAAGAAATAATATAAACATTGCAGGAGTTACTACACAAGATAGGGGTTCAAAGATCTCCCCCTACATGGAAAATATCCTTCACGACTGATCCAAAGACCTCCGACCTTTCTAGATGCATCCAGATGTGAAAAACTTGTTGCATCTTTCCCAAAAAGACTCATGGCTGTATTAGATCAAAAGGGTGCTGAATACTTCGGACCATGTGATATTTCAGTTTTTCATTTTTAATAAATCTGCAAAAATGTCAACAATTCTGTGTTTTTCTGTCAATATGGGGTGCTGTGTGTACATTAATGAGGAAAAAAAATGAACTTAAATGATTTTAGCAAATGGCTGCAATATTACAAAGATTGAAAAATTTAAGGGGGTCTGAATACTTTCCGTACCCACTGTACATGATCAATGTTGCAGTTCCGTGAGAATGCCTTTGAACAGTCCTAGAAGAATTGTTTTATATGTATCATTGTGTTTTATATGTATCATTGTTTTCTTTATAACAGTGACCAAAACATAACTTTGTCAATATCTCAGGAAGAAAGCCAAGAGTTTTGAAGTGACTGTACTCTTAATATACTTCTTTGTCTAAACAACTGTATTTATGACAAAATCTCGTATTGTTTATTTTGTACTTTTTTTCTGTGTTGCATAACAGTTTAAAAATGTATGTGCAACAAATGAGACTCTAAAAGCTAAGTACATTGGAAGCGTTATTTACAGACTGTTGCAGTCCATAAGTTTTGCCACTTTGTCACCATCTCTGTCTGAAACCTGCAATTGCAGTTATTTGCGGAATTATCTTGTTTATGTGGGTTGTGCATCGGCACGGCTCCTCAGCGCGGATGAATCTAATGTTTTGAGGTGTATGTGTTGGCTGTCAGTCAACGCACCAGTGTGGATATTCACTCACTGTACTTCAGAATTAGATACTACGTCTTGGAAGTATGTCCAAAATATGAAGTTTAACCGGAAAATGTAATCTGAACAAGTACGCATGTTCTGAACATGTCTGCCAGTTTTGTTCTGACCAACTGAAAAAAAAAATTGCTCTACCAATCTAACAATCGCAAAGTTAGCTCAGATCACATAACTTAACATAACTGTAATCATTCCAGCTGCTGTAAGAAGAGGCTACAAATGATCCGCCGCCTGCAGCATCCACACGCCTACTAGCCGGGACTCCTCATTTATGTATACAGACATGATGTAATGATGCAAAGACGAACGACCTGAACCACTCAAATTAGAAAACATTATTACAAGCTTACCGTTGTGAGCTATGGTAGATAGTTTGGAACACTGATTGGTTATGTACTTGCTCAATAATTGTTTTGGATCATTTTTAACCAAAACAAGTTACAGAATGCAGCTTTAATTTTGTGAAATTATTTTGTAAATTAAAATTAAGATTTCACATCATTTCTGTTACTCCATTTGCTAAATTTTGTCTTTGTTTTGGTCTTAAATCATATAAAACAAGCTAAATTTTGTGAAAAAAATTTGCCCAATGAGACAATGAGCTCAGACATAGTCTTAATTCGTAATCAAATGGTTTTATGCTAAACAATTTTGCATCTCAAGTAAATGTATTTTGTTTTAAGGATGTGTAGATATTTGTATGGAAAATCAGGACAGAAATACCAAAACCAATGTTTGCAGTGAAATTAATCAAATCAAAGCAGAACCCATTTCAATTCTGAAAAGCAGTGTTCTCACATGTGATTGTTCCATGCCACTGATGAAGCATTTAGACAACCGAATTGACAGCCAGCAGAGCCAAGCGTGCCAGTCGACAAGCAGGCGCTTCTACAGCCCTAACTCTCCTTCATCTCAACCCTTCCTTTTGATCTCCTCCTGTGAGTAACATCTGAGGAGATAACGTACCACCCCTCTACCTTCCCCGACGGGCTCCAGGACATATCGACACCATCAGCATAGCTCAGCAGAGGAGCCCTCAATCAGGGCCGTCGTTTGGACGAGCGGAATGTGGGATTCTGATTGTCTCTCACTGACACTGATGAATGGTGCGTCCTGTTTCTTGTCAGAAATTTAATTAGGATAAATATCGGTACCGGGTGGTACCGTAGCCCTTACACCCAAATTCCAAAAGCAAAGGGAGATGCAAGGTGGAATGACGTGGTGAAGGGCTGGAGGGTTGGAGGGGGGGTGAGTGAGTATGTCTTATCACCACTTACCTAAACACACACACACACACACACACACACACACACAGTCTCTGGTCAAATGTATGTGATCTTCCCAAAAGAAGTTGCAGCATTCAAATTCAGAAGTTCCCAGAACTTAAATTTAAAGGCTCTATAATTATTTTATTGTTTTAATTTAACCAATAAAATGTCCATGAGTAACCTCATGCATAATTCTTTTGTAAAGCAAATCATAACAGGATTAAACATCCAAAGTATCTAATTTTGCATGCCCTCTGAAGGCAGGTATAGTCAGACTTGAGGTTAGGAATTTGAAAAAGCACTGCATGAATGATCCCTGTTAAAGAAAGTGACCAAACTTACAATTTTCACCTGGTAGACTATAAAATGGGCAAGAAAAATCTAGATTCACATTGAAATAAAGACCAGAATATCACAGATATTAGATTTGTGGTCACTTTGAACTTTGGTTACTAATCATTAGCACAGCAACACCATAGAAACCATCCAGAACACCATATCAATTGCATAGCAAAACGCTGGCAAACACTCAAAATATCCTACCATTGCATAGCAACACTCTAGCAACCAACCAGAACATTGTACCAATCGCATAACAACACCCTTGTAACCCCCCAAAACATTCCACAAAGTTGCATAGTATTATCCTATCCTATCACCCATCCAGAACATCCTACACATGGCATAGCAAAACCCTGGCAACCACCCAAACCATTTTACGAATGGCATAGCAACATCCTATCAACCACCCAGAATATCCTACAAATTACATAGCAAAACTCGGGCAAACACCCAAAACATTCTACCAGTTGAATAGCAACACTCTAGCAACCAACCAGAACATTCTACCAAATGCACAGCAACTCCCTAGCAACCACCCAGAATATTCTACTAGTTTCATAACAACACCCTAATACCCCTTAAAACATTATTAAAAAAACTGCATAGCAACATCCTTTCAACCACCTAGAACATCCTACAAATTGCATAAAAAAATCCTGGCAACAACGCAGAACATTCTACCAGTTGCATAGCAACTCCCTAGCAACAACCAGCCAGAGCATTCCACCAACTGCATAGCAACACCCTAGTGACCCCCC